AAAAAAAAAACCACTACTCTTTGTCTTAGCTACTTACTGTATTTTTATAACAGGAAACTGCTGCCACCTACTGGTGATGTTTATGACAAAGTTAATGGTGGGAGATTCAAATGCCAATCAAAATTTCGAAATTTTCGGGGGCCGGCCCTGTGGCTCACTTGGGAGAGTGCGGTGCTGATAACACCAAGGCCAAGGGTTCGGATCCCACATAGGGATGGCCGGTTAGCTCACTGGGTGAGCGTGGTGCTGACAACACCAAGTCAAGGGTTAAGATCCCCTTACCGGCCATCTTAAAAAAAAAAAAAAAAAATTTCGAAATTTTCTTTTAAAGGAAGCAGCCATATGAATAGCTTGGTGATTATCTTTTCTGATTAACTCTCATTACTCTGGACAGAAAAATAAATAGGAAGTATATTATGGGAATTCTAATATAAACTAGAACCCTCTACTATGAAAAAAATGATCTTGCTGACAATGTTACGGTTCTGAGAACATGGTTTCTGAGTCTTTTGTCCATTCACCAACTGTCAGGAAGAGATACGTCCACAGAAGGCATGTATTTAGCTGAGATAGTAGGCTAATAATCCTCTCATACCAGTGCAGAGCCTCGTGGGTCAAGCTGACCCACAGAAGAGCATGATCAACTTGTCCAGTGTTTTCATGAAACTGAGCAAGAAAATAACCATAACAGATAAGCAGCCAAAAATTACATACACAGCCAGTGGAGTGTCCTGAGAAACCCCTGATTTAAAGCTACAAAAAGACCTCAGTCAAAAACAATTTCCTTGATTTGCTGAAGCTGCTACGATCACATAATCAGTCTTCAAGAAAAATTTTTCTGGGCCGGCCCGTGGCTCACTCGGTAGAGTGCGGTGCTGATAACACCAAGGCCGCGGGTTCGGATCCTACATAGGGATGGCCGGTTTGCTCACTGGCTGAGCGTGGTGCTGACAACACCAAGCCAAGGGTTGAGATCCCCTTACCGGTCATCTTTAAAAAAAAAAGAAAAATTTTTCTGCTCCTGAGCAATCCAGGTACATCAAGATCCAGTGGATGTTTGAAGAACACTAGCAATAAAAATGGATGGGACAACCATGACGGCCAAGAGCAGTCTAAGGAAACATGATGCCTAAATGCAATAATGTGGTACCTCATTGATGGAGTCTGGATGTGTTATCCCCTCCAAAACGCACGTGGAAATTTGATCTCCAATGTGGCAGTGTTGGAAACTGATTGAGTCATGGGGGTGGATCCCTCATGAACAGACTAATGCTCTCCCTGGGGGTGAGTTCTCACTCTATTAGCTTCTATTAGTTCTATTAGAGCTCATTGCTTCAAAAGACCCTGGCACCTTCTCTCTCTCTCTTGCTTCCTCTCGCCATATGATCTGCTTGTACTTGCCGGCTGCCTGCCACTTTCCACCATGAGTAGAAACAGCCTGAGGCCCGTGCTACATGCAACTGTCCCAGAATCGTAAGCCAAATAAAACTCTTTCCTTTATAAATTACCCAGTCTCAGGTATTTCTGTCACAACAACACAAAACGGACTAAAACAGAAAATTGGTACTGAGGAGTGGGGTGTTGCTAAACAGATACCTGAAAATGTGGATGCAGCTTTGGAACTGGGTAATGGGCAAAGGTTGGAGGAATTTGGAAGACTTAGAGAAAAAGATGAGGGAAAGTTTGGAATGTTTTAGAGATTTATGTAGTGGTGAGCAGAATGCTGATAGAAACGCAGATAGTAAAGGCCATGCGGATGATGAGGTCTCATATACAAATGAGGAACTTATTGTGAATTGGACAAAAGATCACCCTTGCTACACCATAGCAAGGAACCTGGCTGCATTGTGTCCATGCCCTTGGACTTTGTGGAAGTTGGAACTTAAGAGTTGTGAACGAGAGCATTTGGCCAAAGAAATTTCTAAGCAGCAAAGTATTAAAGGCGCTGCATGACTACTTCTAACAGCCTATTCTGAGTTATGGCAGCAAAGGCATGACATAAGCCAGAATTTAAAAGGGAAGCAGAGTGTACAAATTTGGAAAATTTGTAGCCTGGCCATGCTGTAAAGAAATGGAGAGCCGGAGAACAATGCAAGGGTGAAGTAGATAAACTGGTTGCTAAAGACATTATCTTGGCGGTGAGGAAGCCAGATGCTAACAGTGGAGAAAATGAGAGGAAAGCCCTGTAGGCATTTCAGAAGTCTGGAAGGGTGCCCCACCCATCACAGACCCTGAGGCCTAGAAGCACTGAGCTATCCTGGAGGACAGACCTGGGGTGCAGCTGCCCTCAGGATCCTGCTCCCTGCAACCCAGCTGCTCCAGCTGGAGTAGCCCCAAGTGTGGTTCATGCAGCAGCCCTGGAGAGTAGAGGCCCATTTCGGTAGCATCCACATTGTGTTAAGTCTGCAAGCTGGCAGGACATGAGAGCAGTGGAGGAGTGGCAGCCTCCACCCAGATTCCAGAGGATGTATGGAAAAGTCTGGGGGCCCAGGCAGAGACCTGCCACAGGGGTGGAGCCACCACAGAGGTCATCTACTAGAGCAATGCCAAGCAGGAAAGTGGGGTCATAGCCCCCACAGAAAGCCCCCCAGGGAAACGTCTAGTAGAGCCAAGGCAGCAGGGCTGCCGCCAGAACCCCAGAACTTCGGGGCCACTGGTAACATGCAATGCAGGCCTGGAAAAGCCACAGGCACCAGGGTGGCCCACTGGGCTGCACCTGGCAGAGCTGTGGGAATGAGGCTGCCTGATACTTTGGGGGCCCAGATGTCCAATTGTGCCCAGGACGCAGGACTTGGAGTCAAAGAACATTATTTTGGAGCTTTAAGACATAATGTCTGCCCTGCTGGGTTACAGACTTGTTTGGGGCCTGTTTCTCCTTTCTTTTGGCCTATTCCTCCCTTTTGGAATGGGAATGCATACCCAATTCCACCATTGTATCTTGGCAATAGATAAATTTGGTTTTGTTTTTCAGGTTCACAGCTGGAAGGACTTTTGCTTTTGGTCTCAGATGAGACTTTGGACTATGGACTTTTAAGTTGGTGCTGGAGCAAGCTAAGACTTTCGGGACTGTTGGGATAGAATGATTGTATTTTGTATGTGAGAGTGACATGAGTTTTGTGTGCCAGGGGTGGAATGATGGAGTTTGGATGTGTTGTCCCCTCCAAAACGCATGTGGAAATTTGATCTCCAATGTGGCAGTGTTGGAAACTGATTGAGTCATGCAGGCGGACCCCTCATGAATGGATTAATGATCTCCCTGGGAGAGCGGGGATTAATGAGTGAGTTCTCACTCTATTAGTTACCACGACAGCTTGTTGCTTAAAAAGACCCTGGGACCTTCTCTCTCTCACTTCCTCTCTCTTGTTTCGTCTCACCATGTGATCTGCTTGTACTTGCTGGCTGCCTGCCACTTTCCGCCATGAGTAGCAGCAGCCTGAGGCCCATGCTAGATGCAACTGTCCTAGAATCGTAAGCCAAATAAACCTCTCTTCTTTATAAATTACCCAGTCTCAGGTATTTCTGTTAAAGTAACACAAAATGGACTAAAACACCCATTAAATGGATGGGATCCTGGAACAGAAAAAAGACATTAGGAAAAAACTCAGGAAATCTGAATAAAGTATGGACTCTGGTTAATAATCTATCAATATTGGTTCACTGTTGTTACAAATGTACCATACTAATGTAAGATGTTAATAATAATGGAAACTGAGTGTGGCCTATATGGAAACTCTCTATTCTATCTTCACAGTTTTTCTGTGAATTTAAAACTATTCTAAAGTAAACAGTTTCTTTGAAAAAAAGGATGGGACAAGATGCCTCTCAATTGAGAAAGGCAGGCCCTTAAGTTACTTCTTCAATCATGAGCTTAAAAAGTCACAGAGACTCTATTTTGACTTAAAAAAAAAAGTTATGTAGTAGTTTATTGTCATTTATCAGCTCTAGATCCAAACCTTTTATATAAAATCAAGGGACCCGGCCTCTCCAAACTCCCATCAAAAGGAACAATGAGGTTCATGTGAATTTATGGCAAATCTCAGCCACTTGGGAAAAGGGCCTTCATGAAATTAAGCCAGGTACAAAACACTTTATTCTCTCATACACTTTCTTGAAACAACCACCTTCCACAAACCCAATTGTTTCACAGGGCATTCATTCAGGGAGTTACCCAAATTTTTCCTTTCATTCAGAGACAAAAGTACTCAACCAAAACTACTCCATCTTATATCTGGCCCATAACTCATGCTCAAAAATAAGACTTTAGAAGCTCTACATTTTCTGTTAAAACTGAGGGATGAAGATTTTGTACCTGAGGAAAGAAGAAAGAAATACTCAGGTGAACAAACAATTCTTTGAGACTACACACCTCTGTTATGTTTTTTAAATCATAAATTAAAAAAACCTTCCCATTTCTTTCATAAAACTATATTTTAAAGGCTTCTTTCCTACTTCCATGACATCATCAACATAACATACAACAACTTCAAATTAAATGATCTCTAGCAAGTATCAACCAGCTCATGAACTAAATTAGAGTTTCTGAGTGGTTACTACTGAAAAACTACAAATTAAACTCCTATTCAATCACAGAAGTCTCTTCCAGGTACATACTGTATAATTGTTTTAATTTTCATTTCTTATCTTCAACTACTCTTAAATTAACTTTGGCTCTTCAACACAAGGTACTGAATGGAAGTCCATGAAACTATCTGGTTTAAACAAAATCTGGGCCCTAACCCTTAAGCTCACTCACTAGCCCAGGTATTAGAGAAGGTGCTGTTCCATGACTTTCTTCTCGCATAAGAATACGTTCCATGCCAAACAGACTTTTAAAATGTGATCAGTTGCCTTGGAGACAGAACAAATAGCAGGAACTCAGTTATATTTTTAAGGTGATTTTTTAAATTATTTTTATTTTTTAAGATTAAGCATCCTCATTGACGATCCAGTACACAGTCCTTGCTGCCTCTTTGGACACACACATCTAAAACAGTTAAAACTGATTCCTCAATTTTAAATAACGAGGTAGCAGAAAAGAACATGTTCACAAGCTGCAGTGGAATTCTGCTGTCTCTTTTACAAAAAATCTTATTCTGCTACCAAGCCACTCACCAAGCCATAAGCAAAGACAATTTTTCAAAACACCAACAAAACCCAGAAACAGGAATATAGTTATCAAGCCAAAATGCTCACCCAAAACACTGCTGTTGCAAAAGCAGGTAAGAAGCCAAATTCTCACAGCTATTTAGAGAAAACCTTCAAAAAATAATACAGGAAGTTAGCAAATTAGGAACTTTACTGGTGTGAACAGGTTCAAAAAGCAGATAATTAAAGAATGTTTGGTTTGTTCAGCTGGGAAATATATTAGACTTTCTCCTATTCCAGAGAGGAAATAAAAGCAACTGCTGCTGGAATTAATACGAAAATTGTCCTTCCCAACAGAAAGCAGGGTGAGGGTAAATGGAGAGAAGGTGGAGCAAAAGGTAGCAAAGGCAAGTCGTTTTGAATCCAGGCTCTACTGACCGGGAAAGTTGAACAGGGCTAAAATTCTTCTGAGCCAGTATCATTAAATCCTAGACTTGGCTCTAAACCAATGGACTGTATACCCTACCAATAAATATCAAGTACCCACAGTGTGTGTGTGTGGTATTAAAAAATATTCTTTAAAATTATTATAAAGTTCTATTCTTTTTTTTTTTTTTTTTTTGTCCTTTTTGAGACCGGCCGCACCGCGCTCAGCCAGTGAGCGCTGTGAGCGCACCAGTCATCCCTATATAGGATCCGAACCCATGGCAAGAGCGCTACTGCGCTCCCAGCGCTGCACTCTCCCGAGTGCACCAGTCATCCCTATATAGGATCCGAACCCACGGCGGGAGCGCTGCTGCGCTCCCAGTGCTGCACTCTCCCGAGTGCGCCATGGGCTCGGCCCATAAAGTTCTATTCTGAAACGCAAGTCAAAATGACACTGGGGCATGCAGTCAGTTATAGAGTAAAGGGCTTCCCCCAAGGAAAGAATTAACTCAGAAATTTAGGTTAGATGGAATGTGAGTAACACAGACTAAAGGAGATAAGGTCCCAGTCCACTTTTAATATGGCTTCTACCCTCCCCAGTGGTAAGAAGTAGTACTGAGGGGGCTCCAGCAGAATGTCTTAGAGGGATGCTTTTCAGAGATAAAAGGTTTAACTCTTTACCCCTCCTTACCTACAGCCGGGGGAAGAAAATAAACATTCAATTTTGAATTATTCAGAGCTTTGACAACATTATAATATTTAATATTCTGTAGTTTTCATTTTCAGAACCTTTGGCTTATAATTTTTCTCAATTTATGTTACAGTGAAAAAATGTATGAATGTGTCTTAATCAGTAGAACTACATGAAAATATAAACCTTGTTCTTCCACATCTTCTACACAGGAAGAGTGAATGAATGGCACCCTATATATCCTGCAAGGTTGCTTTGTGCACCAGATGAAAGACTAGGGTAAACCATTCCATCTCCATATCTTGAGCAGAACGAGGAAACTAGTCTTCTATTAACATTCACAGGAAATTACAACCTGGAAGCATAAAATAAGGTACATTTTTATGTATGTGGACAAAACTGAATATAATGTCTTTCCTTCTCTCAAAAAAACTTTCTATACTCTTCTGATAACATCCTTGTACATCTTTTCTTCTCCTTTAATCACCCCAGTGAGAAGGCCTGAAATTTAGGTCGCCCTGAATAAGCTTGCCTTAAAGTTTGCAAGAACAGCCCTTTTAGGATCCAGACAAACTCTCTAGGGCCAAGGATAAACAATAAGGGGGATGGGTATCTCAAAACTGATGCTCAATGTATACACTACGTGGAATAAGCCAAGATGGGGAAGCGAGGCAATCTAGAAGCTAAACTCTTTCAAGACAGTATAACTCTATTTTTTTGTTTGTTTTTTTTTTTCTTTTTCTTTTATTACACTATATCTCTATTACGTGCTAATCATCACTCTAATGTCTATCTCCACAGTCCTTGCACTCTCCATTTGTAGAATGTTTTACAGTTACCAGTTTGTCTTCCTTCCCTTATGTTACCTAAACTTCATGCAATTTCCAACACCAGATTTCCAACAATTCATGGGAAGGGCTTGTTTCTTCAATTTCTCTCTTAGTTTCATAACACAAATGATTGGGGTGCTCCACAGATACCTATTAACAAGATCATCAACTGATGCTTTAATTGGAGAGCTGCTGGAAAACTGGACATTCACATTGTGCCAAGGAATCACCCCACAGATTTTATTTTATTTTATTTTATTTTTTTAAAAAGATGACCGGTAAGGGGATCTTAACCCTTAACTTGGTGTTGTCAGCACCACGCTCAGCCAGTGAGCGAACCGGCCATCCCTATATGGGATCCGAACCCGGGGCCTTGGTGTTATCAGCACCGCACTCTCCCGAGTGAGCCACGGGCCGGCCCACCCCATAGATTTTAATAACAAAATGGAGTATGTTTGAGGTTTACATTTTTACATAAATCTAAGTAAACATTTAGTATCAAGTCTTCCACTCATATTAAAATTAAAATGTTTGAGGTTTACATTTTTACATAAATCTAAGTAAACATTTAGTATCAAGTCTTCCACTCTATGATAGCACTAAAGCATGTTAAAGTAGTTAAATACAATGCCAGTTTCCTTAATGGAGTAACTGGGGAATACCGCTGGGTCAATTCAGATATAACAGACGGGAACAATAGAATCAGGTGCAAAGATATATTTTGATTTCAAAACATGTCAAAATATTGTCAAGAAGTAATAGATTTGTCCAATCATTTTGAATCAGCTTACTGAAAAAATGTCTCCATTTTCTGAGTGTATACTGAGTGTATTCATCAGGTGTGCTACATTTCAAGATAAATAGTTCTGAGAAGTCAGATGTGATATTTTTTTTAATCATATAGATGAGTTAAAAGTTGATTATAGCTCTAGTGTGCCCTTCTCATAACCCATTCAAATTGAGGTAAAGATAATATAAGAACGATTGTAGCCCCCAGCGTCACTCATTCCCACAAATCAACCAATTTACAACTATTAAAAAGGAAAGACAGCCAAACTGGGGCCACTAGAGTTTAGGAGAAGAGGAGGAGAGATCTACAGAGTTCATGAAGGCAGGAAAAGCCACGATGAGAGAAAGAAAGGACCTCTCACACAATTTCAAGCCCTGTCCGCTTTGAGGCTGGCCCTGGTAAGCAAAGGGAGCAAGAGCTGGCAAAAGCCGCATATGAAGTTGCTTGGAGGCTGCAGAGGAGAAAAGGGCTTTGGTGGCCTCCAGGCCAGCAAGACCACTACCAGGTTCCTGTGGACCCACATACGAGTGAAGAGCTACAGACAGTAGAGAAAATGAGACACTCAGAGATCGTGTGTCATCGCATAGACTGGTGCATGGCCCATCCTATGGGAATTGTTTGGAATGTGGGTGGTGAGGGAGACTGGCCCACTGGGGGAACATTGGGGCACAGCATTGACAGTTGATCTGCCCTCCAATCAGTGCAGGACCCTTCAGTGGAGACTGGTCAGGAATATAGAACTACAGGGGTTGCAGTTTGCTAAAAAAGACCTAGGTCTGGACCAGACTTTCCACACAACCCACGTGTATCAGACCCCATGAGACCTGGAAGTACATACAAGGTCAACAATTAAAATCTGAGCTACACAAAAAGACTTCCTCAGGGAATCAGCAGCAATGAAGCAATTTAGCTTAGCTCAACTATAGGGCTCAAGTGCTGGTCCCCAAAGGAAATTCCTCCATTTTAGCAGTAAGCAAAGGACAACGAATTAGTTCCAGTGCAGTTTAAGTCGTGGGAACAGAAAATAATCCAACATAGAACTGAGAGAAAAAACAAAATACCCATAGAACAGAGACAAAGTTTGATATTAACTAGTAAAGGTCTAACACCACCAAAGAAAACCTATACAACCTAGAAGGACTGGAAGCACCCTGGACTCCCAAGCCAGGGAGGGGAGAAAGCCAAGGGCCTCAATCATGCCCTCCTGACATCCACAATGAGCCCAGCAACAACCACTGAGCTGCAACGGGAAGTGCCTTGACTCCCAAGCCAGGGCAGTGGGGGGCCAAGGCCTCAGCCATGCCCCGCCCCCCGACATCCTCAACCAGCCAAGCACAACCACCAAACTACTGCCAGAAATACCCCAGTCTCCCAAGCTGCGGAAGTGGGGAGCCAAGAGCCTCAGCCACACACCCTCAACATCAGCCCAGTGATGACCAACAAGCCACCACTGGAAACACTCTGGGCTCCCAAGCCAGGGTGCTGGGGGCCAAGGACTTCAGCCACACCCCCACGACATCTCCATCCAGCCCACCAACTACCAAACCGACACTGGAAGCCCCTTGATCTCCCCTGCCAGAATGAGGGGAGTGCCACGGGCCTCAATCATGCCCCTGTCCTTCCTCTTCTCCCACCTTATTTCCCTCCCCCTTCTTTTCTACCCCTACCCCCAATTGCTCTGCAAAAACAACTTAGAATGAGGCACAGAGCAGGGGGAAGCAAAACCCAGTGGCAACTAGACAAGCTGTCGCCACTGCTCCAGGGCCCCGCCAGGGTCCTAAGGCATGGAACTGGGGGAAGCTGAACCCAGCCACAACCAGGCAAGCTGCTGCCACTGCCCCAGGGCACCCCCGGGATCCTGAAGTATGGAGCCAAGTGAAACTGAACCCAGCCAAACCAGCACACCAAAAACACCATTTCCACACAGGTAACCCACCATAGCCACTGCAATTGCCATGGCTGCTACAAAAGCAGCTAGTCTCTACAGCAGCAGTTACAGCCACCATGCAGATGGCACACCAGACTCTCAACTGCATTGACACAAGGAAAGGCACCAGCAGAGACCAAAAAAACAAAAGAGGTCATCTCTCTCCACAAAGCACACTCCAGAGTAATAGAAGATCTGATTTACTATAATAGGGGAGGACGTGATCACACCTGTCTTGGTACTGGACAGATCATCCAGGCAACAAACCAACAGAGGAACAGTTAATCTATCAGATGGAGAGAACAAATCTATGGTTATTAAATGGGCGGGGGGGGGGGAAGAAGGGGAAGGGGGAAAGGGTGAGGAGGAGAGGTAAAAGGAGAGGGGAAAGGGGAGAGATTAGATAAGGGGCATAAACAAT